CTCTCTCTCTCTCTCTCTCTCTCTCTCTCTCTCTCTCTCTCTCTCTCTCTCTCTCTCTCTCTCTCTCTCTCTCTCTCTCTCTCTCTCTCTCACACACACACACACACACACACACACACACATCACAGTCTGAGCTAATAGAGCTGAAATATCACAAAGGTCATCTTTAAGATTAGCTTTGTGCTCGGATGCTTCTGGAGCCCCAACGCCCCGACGAATGTAACACCACAAAAACTGCTTAACTGCTGCAAAAAAAAAATGAAACTGTGATTTGCTACATGCAGTATCTCTGTTTTTCAGTATTTTTGGTTCTGTGCTATTTGTCTCTGTGTTTAGAGGGTTTTTTCTGCCGCCACCGTTGTAGCGGAAAAAAAAAAAAGAATATTTGAATGTTTTGTGGATGTTTGGATTGTTAGAGGCTAAAAATAGGACAGAGGACAAAACACTGTATTGTCGTTGTACGAAAGAGATGTTATTTCTATGCCTAACAATGCTCCTCGAAATGTAAGAAACATCTGTATCGCAAAGCACACAAGGTAATTAAAAACTGGAAATGTTCTGATTGGTGCAGCTAATGTCTGTGTTTGCACGGAAGCAAAGTTTGGATGCCACCCATTTGTGCTCTGCTGGTGCGCACACACACACACACACATAAAAACACACTCAACAGGGAACTTGTACAGTCATACGGTTGCGTGGTGGAAATGATCACAGTGAGTCATGCTGATGATGATGATATGATTTCTCTCTGAACGTGGACCAGTCTGTCGTGATACAATGTAATTAATAAAAAGTGTTATGTCACATCAGAGCTCCTGCAAGTGAATAGTTATGCATGTGTGTGTCTGTGTGTGTGTGTGTGTATTAGAGGGAGGGAGACACACCCAGCAAAACAGACAGGGAAAAGAAAAGTGAGGGGCTTTGTAGGAAACAGAAGATGTACTCGGGCATGCTCAGGGCGCTGTGAGAGAAACAGAGAAATATGCTAAATTGAATTCAGTGATAGAGCTGGAGTGTTTGAGTGATGCCAAATCTCTCCCATTCTATTAATCCCAGTATAAACCCAGTGTCTTTTTAGAGAAAAGAAAAGAAAAAAACACTTGCTTGGTTTGCAGATTAGGAGCAGGCTGAGGGCTTTTGCAGAGAATTGTACGAGCAAATTGGACAGGAGAGTACGTCTAAATCCCTGATGCAATTAGGCAACAGCTGAATTAATATGTTCTTTTTACACAGAGCTGTGTCTACAATTTATCTTTTAATAATAAAAACGTCATTGCAAAGGAAATGAGAAACGCACAAGACGGCACAAAATTCACCTTGGTGTAAAGTGTGTGTGTGTGTGTGTTTCAGTGGGTGGATGAGGAGGAAGGGAAAGTACCTCGACTCAGCATACTGTGTGTGTGTGTGTGTGTGTGTGTGTGTGTGTGTGTATATGTGTGTGTGTGTGTGTGTGTGTGTGTGTGTGTGTGTGTTTGTACAGTATGAGTGGTAAGAAAGCAAGTGGTAGTAGTGCTCTCCTTGGTGTACAGTGGAGAATCCCTGCACTCAGCACTTCCTACCCCATAAATAACACTTTTAATCAACGGACACACACCAAGTAGTGAGGATCAGTGAGGCTGTAAAAGTCGATGTCTTGGGAACACAACGCAGAAGAACACTGAGGGGTGTCTCGGACGTTCAGTCACAAATATTGCACAACATGTAACCAAAATGTCCTGAGTTTTAAATCCAGCTAAACGTCTTTGTCAAACACCTCCCTTGCTTTCTGCCTGAAGACAGTATTAATACAAGCTTGATCTCAATTAATACACGTTTAACCTCAATAACTGCAGTCTGAAATGGTTCTTCCTGAGGAAAAAGGTACTGTAGGCAAGACCAGAGGACGCCACAAGAGTATGAGTAATTTCCTTAGGC